ACGCTGCTCCGCCGGCTGACGCTGTCCGCGGACGTTGCTGGTCCCCCTCAGGCTGGGTCCCAGGACCGCTGGTCCCCGGGACGCTGGGTCCCCGGGACGCTTCGGTTCCCCCCGCACGCTTTCTGGCTCCCCGCGACGCTGGCTCCCCAAGCGACTGCCCGTCGTCCTCCCGCTATCCCGCTGCGCTCCCCGGACGCTGGTCCCCAGCGACTCTGGGCTCCCCAGGACTCGTCGGTCCTCTCCAAGGACGCTGTCCTCCGCCTACGCGGTCCCCAGGTATCCGCTTGGTGCTCCCTATGACTCCTGCGGTTTCCCTCCTCCCCCTGCGCCTCACTCGTTTCGCCTTTCTTGTCGTGTCCCCTATGGACGCTGCTCCTCCCTCCCCCCGCTAGCTGCGGCCCCCTGGACGCTGGTCCCCAGGCGTGCCGCCCTCGGTACGCTGCGCCCACGGGTCCTCCGGACGCTGTGTCCCGCATGGACTGCTGTCCCAGACGCTGGCCCTCCCTCACGCTGGTATCCCCAGGATCCGTTGTCCCCGACGCTTCCTGCCCCGCCGCCACGCTGGGCCGCGCAAGACGCTGTGCCTGTGTTGACTCTCGTCTGTGTCCCCGAGGGCGCTGCGCTCCCCAGGCGCTCGGCTGCCCCTCACGCTCGCTCCCCAGCGACGCTGGTCCTTTCCCTGTGGCTGTCGGTCCCCCCCCCGTTGTGACGTCTGGTTCTCTCCCTCTGCTGCCCTGCCCCTCTCTCGACTGCGGTTCTTTCGGTGACGCTGTCCCCTCACGCTTTTGCGTCCCGGGACTTGCTTCGCCGTCCCCGGGAACGCTGCGGTCCCCAGGACGGCTTTGGTCCCCAGGACGCTCCGGTAGGCCCTCACGCTTTGTCTCTCCCCCAGGTACGCTGTTTCCTCCTCTCAGGTGACGCTCTGGTCCCTCAGTACGCTGCGCCCCTCACTTCCGGTCTCCGACGCTGGTTTCCCAGCGACGCTGGTCCCCATGGACGCTGGTCCCCTCGACGCCTGGTCCCCAGGCACGCTGGTCCCGCCGCACGCTGTGTCCCCATCGGTGACGCCTCAGGATCCCCCTCACGCTGGTCCCCGGACCTGTTTGGTCCCAGGACGCTCTGTTGTCCCCCGCCACGCTGGTCTCGCCCCAGGACGCTGCCGTTCCCTCACGCTGCGTGGTCCCCAGGACGCTGGTCCCCTCACGCTGGTCCCCCGCACGCTGGTCCCTGCACGCTGGTCCCCAGGACGCTGGTCCCCAGGACGCTGGTCCCCCGCATGCTGGTCCCCGCACGCTGGTCCCCAGGACGCTGGTCCCCAGGACGCTGGTCCCCTCACGCTGGTCCCCAGGACACTGGTCCCCAGGACGCTGGTCCCCAGGACGCTGGTCCCCCGCACGCTGGTCCCCGGGACGCTGGTCCCCCGCACGCTGGTCCCCAGGACACTGGTCCCCAGGACGCTGGTCCCCTCACGCTGGTCCCCGGGACGCTGGTCCCCAGGACGCTGGTCCCCAGGACGCTGGTCCCCTCACGCTGGTCCCCAAGACGCTGGTCCCCGGGACGCTGGTCCCCAGGACGCTGGTCCCCCGCACGCTGGTCCCCAGGACTCTGGTCCCCAGGACGCTGGTCCCCAGGACGCTGGTCCCCAGGACGCTGGTCCCCCGCACGCTGGTCCCCGGGACGCTGGTCCCCAGGACGCTGGTCCCCAGGAGACAGCTGGTCCCCAGGACTCTGGTCCCCAGGACGCTGGTCCCCAGGACGCTGGTCCCCAGGAGACCGCTTGTCCTCAGGACGCTGATCCCCAAGAAACCGTTGGTCCCCAGGACGCTGGTCCCCAGGAGACAGCTGGTCCCCAGGACGCTGTTCCCCAGGAGACAGCTGGTCCCCCGGGCTGGTCCCCAGAAGACATCTGGTCCCCAGGAGACCGCTGGTGCCTGGGACACTGGTCCCCAGGAGGCAGCTGGTCCCGGGGACTCTGGGCCCCAGGAGATCGCTGATGCGTTGTCTCGAGTTGGGGTTAAGTTTCCCAGCGTGGCCACAGGGCTCCAGGATTTAGGATGCGACGGCAGCACGTTAACGGTGCTTGTGGGAAGGCGCTGTGGCGTGAGAAGGCTTCAGGCCATGGTCGGCGGGGGCTGACGCTGGGGCTCAGCCATCGGGTCCTCCTGAGGTCCGAGGTCCGAGTCTGAGCGTCCTCAGCGTCGTCTGGGAGAGCGCGCGGGGCAGGGAGGCAGCGTGGTGTCGGCGGTGACAGGGGCCGGGGAAGTGGCGCTTTGTTGGCCTTAGAGGTCAGAGATTAGGGCCCTGTATGAAGCTTTGCCATATTATATTTTCCAACATTTTATATGAAACGTGTTCTTACACTGGAGGACTAGCAAAATGAGGGCTCGTGTACCCACAAGCTAGATTCCACGTTTATTAGAATTATGTCATAAAAGCTTGCTATGTGTCTATGGGTATGTGTGTAATTTATTTATTGCTTGAATCATTTGGAATACAGCTTTTTTATGCCAATCTGCTGTTTATTGTATTCGAGAACTTGGGCACCGTATTGAAATGCTACAAGTTTTACTGTTAGAAACAAATTGATAGCATCTTCTTTGCAAATGTGTTTTGAAGATTATGGGAACAGTGTATCTGAAATGCCAGCAAAGTGCCTGGTGTAGAGCAGGTAATTGGCGAATGGCAGTTTTTACTATTAAAATATATACCTTTCGGTGGGAATTTTTATTCTCTAAAATGATTCTGTCTCTAACTTTTCCTTTCCTGCTTTCATGTATTTCCTTTTCCTATATAAATTTATCTTTGAGTACATATTTGAAAGTTTCCATGATTTTAAATGGATATCTCCTTGCAACACTTATTTATTACAAAACTGTTGTATGCTCATTGTAAGTAAAAAACCAGATAGTAATAATAGAAACAACTGCAATTTATCACCTACACCAAACTGATCTTCTGTACTGTATTATGAAACTGAACTGTATAGTATGGATATTCCATTTCTGTTTAATGTATAAAGCAGTTCAGGTTAAATGCATGTTTTTGAAGCTTCTGGTTTGCTAATGTTGAACTTCTCCAATAGTATTCTACTAGATAACCCTTCCATTTATGATGCAGCAAATTTCACTGTATCTTCAGGGACAGTGGGTATATTATTCTTTCCCATCTTTTCAAATCTGATAGACCAAAATTTATTGGCTTTTTTTGTTCACAATTTTGCTTAATAAAGGTAATATTTGATAATATGAAAGTGGCTAAGTGCTTAATAACTGTCCCATTTTTGCATCATTCCCATTTTTTCCTAATGACTCCAACACTTTCACCCCACCCAAAATTCTGTCTAGAATTGTGTATGTTATTCCCTTGATTTTTAGAAATATGTACCTATTACATGCATATATGTGGATATGTAACAAATTCACTGTTTAGATTTGCTTGTTGTTATGCTTTATGAACGGTTTTATAATGTGTATATTAGTTTTCTACTGCTGTGTAGCAAATCACTACAAATTTAGCAGTATAAAACAACATTCATGTTTTAGCTGATAGTTCTATAGAACAGACAGGTGAAGGAGTTTGGCTGAGTCTTTGCTTAGGGACTCAAGGCCAAAATCAAGGTTATCATCTGGGTTGGGCTATTATCAGAAGACACTGGGGAAGAATCTCCCTCCAAGCTCAGCGGATTGTTGACACAATTTAACTCCCTTGTACTCCTGTAATAAATGCAACTTAGTCACAGTGCCGTATTTTTCTATGTATTTTTGGCTATGGTTTGATGGTTTGCTAATATTTTATTTGGGGTTTTTGCAGCTCTACTTATAAATAAGAATAGCTTATAAACGATACCATCATGTAACCATCATCCGAAATTAGGCATTTCCACTGACCCCAGAGTTCTTTGTGTCCCCTTGCAATGGGTCCCCTTTCCCTACTCCTGTCCCTGGCAACCACTTACTGATTTCTGTCAGTATGGCTATCTGCAATCTAGAACTTTGTATGTACAGAATTATATGAGGCAGTCTTTTATGTCTGGCTTTGTTCACCTAGCATGATGCTTTTGAGGTGCATCCATGTTGTGAAGAAATGTGAACCTGAAACAGCCAGCCTTTCAGATGGGTCCTGAGTGGCTGCCTGGGCCTAAATTTGACACAGAGCCAACTGGCCCATTTCTGACCAGAGGATAGGGAAGAAACACACAGATAGGGTCAATGGGATTTGGTGATGGATTTGATTAAAAGAATCAGGAATGATTTATATTTGGGACTTAAGACATTGGGTAGAGGGTGGTGACTTTTTCTAAGTTGAGGAAAGACGTGGATGGTGGGAAAGACTTAGCAGGCAGCTGTTTTCGGGGAGTCAAATGGATAGCTCTGTTTTGGTCATGCTGGATCCGAGATATTACTTAGACTTTCGAGTGGAGTTGCAGAGCAGGGAGGTAGATGTGAACTTGCACTTCTGAGGAGAGGCTATAGACTGAGATGGAGATTTGGGGGTCATCAGTGTACAGGTGGTATTTCAAATTACAGGAACACATCATCTAGGATGACTGCGTTAATAAAAATCTACCGTGTTTCCCCCAAAACAAGACCTACCCATGAAATAAGCCCTAGCAGGATTTCTAAGCATTTGCGCAATAGAAGCCCCACCCTGAAAATAAGCCCTAGTGACGGGCGTGGCCACGCAGCGCGTCTGCACAGCCCATGCGTGTCGGCGCGGAGCAGGAAAGAAGACGAGCAGCCCTTCTCATCCGCCCCCTGAGAGCTCTGTGGCTCCACGTGAGAGATTGGGGTCAATGGTTCTAAAGGAAATAGAGTCGCAAGAAATTCAGGATGGAATTCGGGGTTTGGAGAGTTATGATGATGTTCCAGAAGAAGACTTAACTATATTTGAATAAATGTAGATTGTTGTACTGTACTTAAAAAAAAAAACACATCCCCTGAAAATAAGCCCTAGGGCATCTTCTTGAGGAAAAATAAATATAAGATCCTGTCTATTTTCAGGGAAACACGGTAAATGGAAGTGTCTAAAATTGAGTCCTTAGATATGCCAACATTCAGAAGCCAGAGAAGAGCCAGCGGAGGAGACTGAGAAAAAGTCACTGAGGTAGGAAGAAAACAAACAAATGTAATGTCACCAAAAGAATGATAAATTTAAAGATGAAAGGGGTGGTAAACTGAGTCATATATGTGTAGGGGTTAGAGACTGCGTTGCTACCACGCAGATGGTAGCTTTACCCCATTGGACCCTAAGCCGAGCACCGAGTGTTTGAACCTGCGGTGCCGCAACTTGGCAACAGGTGTCGCTGTTGTTCTCGGTGAGAGTAGTCTCGCGAGTACCCCGTCATAAATGCTTGTAAAAGGACTTCCCCATTGGCCGTGGGGAAATGTGAAAAGAGGAAGTAGGGAAAGGAAGTGGAAGTGACCCTTGAGTTTGCTGTCAAGGAAAGCAGAGAAATTGGTTGTACAATACAGGAGGATGTGTATGGCACAGAGCTTTTTTTTTTAAATAGTAGATAGAACATATGCATGTGCTGATAATAAGGACAAAATAAGAAAAATTGATAATAAGAGAGAAACAATACTGTCAGAAGGGACTGCTTTAAAGGTATGACATTCCATACTCCATTTTAGAGTTTCCCCAACTTTTTTTTTTTGAGACAGAGTCTCACTTTGTTGCCCAGGCTAGAGCGAGTGCCGTGGCGTCAGCCTAGCTCACAGCAACCTCACACTCCCGGGCTCAAGCGATCCTCCTGCCTCAGCCTCCCGAGTGGCTGGGACTACAGGCATGAGCCACCATGCCTGACTAATTTTTTCTATATAATTAGTTGGCCAATTAATTTCTTTCTATCTATTTTAGTAGAGACGGGCTCACTCTTGCTCAGGCTGGTTTCGAACTCCTGACCTCAAGCAATCCGCCTGCCTTGGCCTCCCAGAGTGCTAGGATTACAGGCGTGAGCCACTGCACCCAGCTTCCCCCAACATTTTATTTCATTTCATTTTAATATGTAAAAAAATACTACTAGAATTCAATGTTTGTTTGCCATTAACATGGTTTCAAAAGTCAGCACTACACAAAGACGTATACTCAGAGAAGTATCACCTCCCCCATTCCTTCCATCCCATTTCCACCCATCTCCATAAACTTTTGGTTACCATTCATCTGTTTCCTTTTAAACACTAGCTGTATCAGTTACAAAAGATAACTTTTGGTTATCATTCATCTGTTTCCTTTTAAACACGCTGTATCAGTTGGCATTCCACTAGAGAAATAGAACTTATATAACTAACCATCACAGTCCATCCTTGTCAACTAAGTACCCATCCACCTCTCCTTAAATCATATTTAACTTCCAAAGTAAGACAATTACAAAATTGTACTTCAGCCTAACATGATACATCTATCCTGCCTACAACCAAGAATGCATGCTAACTCTCTCCATAAGAGGGTGCAGAGTCTTGGAGTGACAGTCACTCCTCTCTGATATCCTCAAACATAAATATCATGATGTCAAATTACCTGTTATTAATACATTTTATGTTATATGATAAGGAGATAGAGAAGGAAGAAAAACACCTGATATTCACACAAACATATTCGTGACAAAATAAGGAAGAAATAGTCATTAAAATTACAATCTTCAATTCTGCAACGGTTCACACGATCATGGCAGGTATTCTTAACTACCTTCTTTCCCTTTCCATTTTATGTTCTCTTTTCCCTCAGCAAGTACCTAAGTTGTCAGCATTCTTTGCCTAGTTGGGTGACCCAAACCTTTATTCATGAAAGGTCCGGGCCATTCGCAGCCCTTCCTGCATGTATATTGTTATGGTTTCTGTTGACTTCAACATGTAACACAGTAGTACTAACAGATGCCCTAAGGGGTCTCCTGTATTCCAGAAAAAACAGTGATGCACTCAGTGAAATCTCATTCCTATCCTTGATCGTTCCAACCTATTCCCTGCTCCTCCTCCAGTTTTGGTGGCAGGGATGGAGACTGCACTTGGGATCAGCAACGTGGACTTTCACTCACCATTCTGGATACAGCCCCTGCTAGTTGCTCAACCTGCCAGCAGCAGAGGTCAGCTCCGAGTCTGTGAAATGGCGTTTGTTCTCTTTACAGGCAATTCACCCTCCTCTTTCGGAGAAGTGAGGGAGTTTTCTGCTCCACTTGAATCTGGATGGGAACTTGTGATTGCCCTGACCAGTGGGGTTACAGAAGAAGTAAAGCTATATACCTTTCAATTCTGTGTCATAAAAAGAATAAAACTTTGACCCAACACTTTCTCAGATCATTCATTCCAGGGAGAGCCAGTAGTCACGTGAGAGCACCCAAGCAGCTCTGCAGACAGGAAGCAACTTGTAGCAACAACTCACCATCCATGGAAGTATGTCTCCTGGAAGTGAATCTCCTATCCCCAAGCAAGCCTTCAGATGACTGCAGCCTTGGCTGACACCTTACTACAACCTCAACCCAGCCAGAAACACCCAATAAAGCCACTCCCAAATTTCTATCCATAGTAATTGTAAAATATAATACATTAGATTACTGTTATTTCAAGCCACTAAGTTTTTGGGGATGATTTGCTATGCAACAATAAATAACCAACACAGTGACCAACTGGCATAATATTAGCTAAGGTGTGACTTGGAATTAGGCCAAAGATTATAGGTTGCCAGAGATTTTATCAACCAGAAAGCCTTCCAAATCTATGTAAGTCTCACAAAATCTCCATCATTAGCTAGTTAATTCCTTGACTATATCTTTCAAAATTAACACCTAGATCACAAGTTTGAAACTGCCCTTCAATAACAGGGTACAAGGCGAGAACTATGGTAAAGACCTAGCTAAAAAATAATGATAATAATTAGTTGCTGTCCCCCTGTTTGCTTTTCTATACTTGTCACTCCAGAGCCACATAGCTGGTGGTCATAAAGATTCTTAACTTTCTCTATAGATATTAATAAACATCACACTTTTGAAACCTAAAGGTAGCTTTAAAGATATCTTTGCTAACTGGACTTCTGCCCACCCACCATGCCAATGCCTGTCTCACCAGCCTCATATGAAAAGGCCATTTGTTTCAGGGCGTGGACTATAAAGATGTGTCTGTGTTGCCAGGGTCCAATGTGAGTTCTTATTCTCATGGCCTGTATTAATTCTTATTCTTTTTCTCTAGAAAAGAGTATTTATTCAACTGCTCATATTCAAGGTTGCACATCACTATTACCAGGGAATTCGTGAAGTGAATAAAGCTAGTCTGTGAATAAATAACGATTCCTGAGTTTTGAACCAGACATAATAAATAGAGATCCTTATTGCTGCAGTGACCTCACTCATATTTTTAAGAAATACCTCCTCAGGTGATGCTGACGGACGGCATCAGTCATCAGCCGTAGGCGAACATCTGGGAAGCCGTTGCCTCGATGGGGTCTGGACTGGGAGACGCATGAGATGGGGATGTGAGGGGGAAACACAGCTGGACAATCCCAAGATTATGAAACATTTACATAGATTTTCTTTTTTCCCGGCAGCAGTGGTAACTCTCAGGGCGGAATGAGATACCGGAGAGATCTCCAGACCTCCAGTCTTTGGAATGTGCGTTCCGCAATGAAGGGGACTTCCTGCATTTGAAAAACCAAGTTCCCTGTTCATATGTGCCCAGAAATTCAATCTGGGCATGCTCATAGGGAAAACATCACGCTCTCCTAGGATTAATTTCCAATGAGGTCACAAAGCTGAGGGTGAGGGTGATACTTTTCATTTCCTTGTTTTGTGTTTTAGCAGCCACAAGATGGAGCTCAACTTCTAATGAGTTAGGCTTTTGGGTTTTTTTTGTTTTGTTTTGTTTTGTTTTTTGCTTTTGTTTGAGACAGAGTTTCACTTTCTTGCCCTGGCTAGATTGCAGTGGCATCATCATAGCTCATTGAAACCTCAAACTCCCGGGCTTAAGTGATCCTCCTGCCTCAGCCTCCTGAGTAACTGGGACTACTGGTGCCCACCACCATGCTCTGGCTAACTCTTTTCCATTTTTGGTTGAGACATTGTCTTGTCTTGTTCTTGCTCAGGCTGGTCTCAAACTCCTAAACTCAAGAGATCCTCTTGCCTCTGTCTCCAACAGTGCTGGGATTACAGGCATGAGCCCCAACGCCCTGCATGAGTGAGTTTTCATTAGCACTCGAGACCAAGGCCAGTCATGTCAGGAAAGTTCATTACTGCTGTCTTTGGCCCCCCAGCTCTCCCTGTCCTAGTAGGTATGAATTTAGAGAAATTCAGATGGTAGAAAGGAAAAAGACCCTGAGTTTGATTGACTTATTTTTCTTAATTTTAAAAATGTGGAAACAACCCAAGTGCCCATCAATACATGAGTAGATTAATAAAATGTGGTCTATGTATACCATAGGGTTCTACTCAGCCACAAAAAACAATGGTGATCTAGCACCTCTTGTATTATCCTGGATAGAGCTGGAGCCCATTCTACTAAGTGAAGTATCCCAAGAATGGAAAAACAAGCACCACATGTACTCACCATCAAATTGGTATTAACCGATCAACACTTAAGAGCACATATAGTAATAACATTCATCGGGTATCAGGCAGATGGGAGGGGGAGGAGGGGATGGGTACATACACACCTAATGGGTGTGGTGTGCACCATCTGGGGGATGGACACGCTTGAAGCTCTGACTCAGGTGGGGCAAAAGCAGTATACATAATCTAACATTTGTACCTCCGTAATATGCTGAAATTTTCAAAAATTTCAAAAAATGTGGAATATAACAAACCTACACACAAAAAAATGAATAAAAGATAAGCATGAATAATTAAAACATTTTTGTAAAGCAAACATTCATGTATCACCACTCAAGTAAAAAAAATAGATCATTATTAGCACTTTATTTCATTTATGAAACTTAGTTTTACAGGATACAAAATTCCTGACTGACAGTGATTCTGATTAGGAAGATTAAAGATAGGACTCCAATCCTTTTTTGCTTCTGAGGTTTCCGCTGAGAAGTCTGCTGTTAGTTTGATGGGTTTTCCTTTATGACTTGCTGCTTTTGTCTCGCTGTTCATAAGATTTTCTCCCTCACATTGCCTTTGGCTGGTCTGCCTCAATGATGTCCCTTTTGCAATGAATCTGCCTGGTGTTCTTTGAGCTTCTTATATCTTGGTGTCTAAATCTCTGGCACGAGCAGAGAAGTTCTTCTCCATTCCACACTCTCTCTCCATATGTGCACATTACTTAGCTTCCACTTAAAAGTAAGAACATCTGTTATTTGTCTTTCTGTGTCTGAGTCATTTCACTTAAGACAATAGCCTTCAGTACCATCCATGTTGCTGCAAAATATATGATTTCAATCTTTTTTATAGCTGAACAGTATTTCGTTGTGTATATACAGCACATTTTCTTTTTCCAGTCCTCCGCTGATGGGCACATAGGTGGATTCCATGTTTGCTAACATGAATAGTGCTGCTATAAACATTCAAGTACAAGCATCTTTTTATATATTGATTTTTTTCTCCTTTGTGTGGATAGTAACGGGATTGCTGGATCTTATGATGGTTCTATTCTTAGTTCTTTGAGAAATTTCCATACTGTTTCCCACAGAGGTTGCACTAATTTGCATTCCCACCAACACTGTGTAAGAGTTCCCTTTTCTCTGCTACCTTGCCTGTTTTTTTTTTAATAATAGCTATTCTGATTGGCTTAAGATTATATCTCATTGCTGTTTTAACTTGCATTTCCCTAATAATTAGTGATGTTGAACATTTTTCCCTATGCTTGTTGGCCATTTGTTTGTCTTCTTTTGAAAAACTAAATATAACATTTACCATACAATCCAGCAATCATGTTCTTTGGTATTTACCCAAACAAGTTAAAAACTTATGTCCACACAAAAACCTGCATGTGGACATTTATAGCAACTTTCTTCATAATTGCCTAACTTGGAAGTGTTAAAATAAAAAACATTAACAAAGGTTATGCTTTGGAAAAACAAGAGCTTTATTCCTCATAAAGGGTAGCAACCTGTGGGCAGTCATTCCGACTGGCTGGGAGGCCGAGCCCCAGCCAGAAGCCAGGCACACGTGCCTCAACGAAGACACAAAAAGGAACAAACAGGATTTTGTGCTGAGTGGGTGGTCAAATACACACACTCAACAGGCTATATAGGAAGAGTCATGAATATTTATGAAGGGAAATCATATGCATGTAATTGTACTTCATCTCTCCCATCCTGCCATGGCTGGGACCTCAGTTTTAAGGTGTGTCTGGGGTCCCCTTGGCTGAGAGGGGTCCATTCAGTTAGCAGAGGACTTGGGATTTTATTTTTAGTTCACAGATGCAACCACAATGTTTTCAGTAGGTGAATGGTTAAATAAACTGTGGTACATCCAATAGAATATTATTCAGTGCTTTAAAGACATGAACTATCAACACATGAAAAGACACAGAGAAAGCTTGAAATGAAAACTGCTAAGTGAGAGGCACCAATATTAAAAGGCTACGTACGGTAAGATCCCAGCTATAGGACATGCTGGGAAGGGCAAAACCATGAAGACAGTAAAAAGACCAATGGTTTCCAGAGGAGGAGGAGGAGGGAAGGGTAAACAGGCAGAGCATAGAGGATTTGGGGGGCAGTGACATGACTGTGCATGATACTGTATGGGTGGGTACACGTCATCATACATTTGTCAAACCCATAGAATGTGCAATGCCAACAGTGAAGCATAATGTGATCTATGGGCTTCAGGTGATAATGATGGTCAATGTAGGTTTATCAATTGTAAAAACTGTATTATTCTAATGGGGTATGTTGGTAATTGAGAGGGCTAGGCATATGTAGGGACAAGGGACATATGGGAAATCCCATAATTTCTGCTCAATTTGCTATAAATAATATTGCTCTAAAAAAAGCTTATTAATAAAAAAAATGAGGCATCCTCTTATGCACTGAAGTGATACAATCCTTGCATCTAATTGCTTAGAATGTATTCACATCTAGCTGGAAGGATGACTGAGAAATGTATTATTTTAGCTAAATAAATTGCCACCTACATTTGTTAATGAAGAAGGCAGGTGAGTATTGCATAGGCAGCTGGCGATCTTGACCAGAGCTTATACCTTTGGGTACTCAACATCTCACTCTACTCTTCTCCTTAAATAGCAGAAGTAATCTCATCCTTCCCAAGGGTGATATCCCCAAAGCTCTATTTTGGAGTTTCAGACTCAATCAGGTCTAGAAGTGTTTCTCTGTGGTAACTATCCCATAAGCTTAAAAGGATCCTCAGCTTCCAAAGACCCCAATACACAAAGATGCAGTGGGAATTGGGAATCCGCAAGGAAAATTCCCAGTGAAGAAAATACCAGGGAGGACGGAGTGGGCACTATGCTACTGCAGTTAACCAAGGCCAGTGGGCAGGAAGAGGAAAAGTTCCTTGCCCTGGCAGTGGAGCCAATCTGAAAACAGTGCTTCTCACACCTAGGGGCACCTCCGTTCATGTCTCCTGGCTTTTGCCTCTTGTATTTTTTCCTTATTTTCTATGGCCACACATTAGTTGGACATTAAAGAGTACACATTTCTTGAGAACTTGAAAGCATTTGCAGGAGTCAAGAATTCAAATGAAAAAGGTAAACTGCTGTGCCTTGGAAATGCAAAGAACTTTAGGGGAGACATGAGGGAAAGGGAGAAGAAAATTGACTGATAAAGCAGTGGAGTGAGTGAGAGGCTTTGATATCAGGACCGGGTGCTATTCCTTTTGAGCTGGGTCTTTTGCTGATGCATCGGGAAAGTAAGTTACACAGTGAAGGACCATTTGCGAATGGCTGTTTGAAGAAAGCAGGGAAAGGGCTGAGTACTCTTGAGGTTTGATTTATTTAATATTTAAAAACATAGGCATGAGACAACATTTAGCCAGAGTCCTTTATTTGCGTTGGAAACTCAAAACCAGAGGTGTTCATGAAAATGTAAGCCACATGGGAATTTATCAGTATTGTGGGCTGGACATGGCCTGGGGATAATTGTAATTAGATATTAAAGGTTCCTCACTTGACACCTAGGTGATGCTATTGTTTTCGGAATCATTAATTCCATACGGATGTATCGAGTGCACATTACCTGCCAGAAAGTATTCTACACGTCAGGAGTGGGGATGCCTCAGCATGCAATACACACAAAATCCCTGCCCTCACATAACTTACATTCTCTTTATTTGAAAGAAATCAGAAGTTCTGTACACAGTTATCGCAGTTTTATGCCAATAACTTTGACGGTTTCAATGAAATGGCCAACTGATGATGTAAATAAAAGAATGCAAATAATATGATCATCCTAATGTATGTAGAAAATGCATTTGATAAAATGGAACAGCCATTCACAACTTTAAAAAAAGAAAAAGAAAGCTCTTAGTAAACCAGAAACAGAAGAAAACTTCCATAGTCTGATTTTAAAAATAGCTACAAAAATCCTACAGCAGGCCAGGTGCAATGGCTCATGCCTGTTTTCCTAGCAGTTTTGGAGGCTGAGGTGGGAGGATTGCTTGAGGCCAGGAGTTTGAGACCAGCCTGGGAAATATGGTGAGACTCCATCTCTACAAAAGAAGTAAAAAATTAGCTGGGGTGGTGGTGCACATGCCTGTAGTCCCAGCTACTCGGAAGGCTAAGGCAGGAGGATTGCTTGAGTCCAGGAGTTTGAGGCTGCAGTGAGCTACGATGATGCCACTGTACTCCAGTCTGGACAATAGAGGGAGAGCCTGTCTCAAAAGAAAAAAAAAAAAACCTACAGCGAACATTTTGCTTTAGGGTGAAATACTAAAATCCTCCCCTTTATATGTACCATCTCATCCAAGCCTTACAAATTCCCACCACTCTTTGTTTTCTCTTGTGCTTGTTTCCTACCTCCACTTACCCCACGGTACAGGCTGAGGTTTAAAATCCAAAAATAATGCTAATAGCCTCCCTGTCTATTTCTTACCCCAAAATCAGGGGTACAAAAGTATTTTTCCTTAGTAAACACCTGAGCCACTTATACCTGAAGCTCGGTGTGACTCAGGTTAGATGCAGCTGGAGCTGGGATCAGGGTGGGAGGAGACAAAGCCCCAAAACATCTCTGGCACCTCCTCACAGTGCCTGGGACTCGGCTTCCGCAGGAGGGGGGGCAGAGTTGGTGGCCGTGTCGCTGGTCGGGGCCGAGTCCTCGGTGAGCGCCCTCTCCAGACTGGCGGGCAGGGAGTGGACCAGCCTCTGCCGGAAGTCCTGGCCCACAAAGACGTAGAGCATCGGGTTGAGGCAGCTGTTGAAGAAGGCCAGGGAGCTCGTGGGGTTAACCAGCGCGTCAAGGATTTTATACTGGCCCAGGAACAACATCTCTTTGAGCCAGACTGTGCTTAGAAGGGCAACCAGTTGAAAGGGGAACCAACAGACGAAGAAAGAAGCCACAACAGCAGTGAGGACCCGCAAGGGGCGGCTGGACTTAATCATGCCTTTTTTGTGGATCTTGGCAGCGATGAGCCCGTAGCAGACGGCAACGATGGACATGGGCGTGCTAAAGCCGACCAGGAACCGGATGACCCCTCTCATCGTCAGCATGGTGACGGCCACCTTCAGCTTCTCTTCCTTGGTGTTACCCCAGGACGCGAAGTTGAAAGTACAGTACGTGTCCCCATTCGCCGTAGTCACCGTGGTCAAGAAGATGAAAACTGGCAAGGTGAGGAGCAGAGCGAGAATCCAGGGCCCGAGGATCACCTTCTTGGCCAGCCCGACGGTGCGGTGGTTCTGGGCCCAGACCGGATGCAGGACACAGACGCAGCGGTCCAGGGCGATGAGCGCGATCAGGAAGACACTGCCAAACAGGTTGACGTCCACCACGATGTGAACTAACTTACACAGGAACCAGCCAAAGGGCCACTTTTCTCTCATGGCCATGGAGACTATGAGGAACGGCAGGGTGGCGGTGAAAGAGAAGTCAGCCAGGGCCAGGTTCAGGTAGGAGACGGTGGTGACCGTGCGTGTCATCCGGAATCCAGCCACCCAGATCACAAGCCCGTTGCCCAGGACCCCGAGGACAAAGGTGACCCCCAGAACCACCAATGGGAGGACCTGCAGAGCAGTGTGGCCAGCAGAGCCGTGGAGCTCCTCTTCAGATCCATTCAGAGGGGTGGAGAAGTTGGTGTCCATCGTGCCCACACCTGAAACACGTCAACAGCGGTCATGTCTCAGCTGTGGAGCCGTCCTACAGTATTCCCGTTCATAGCCCGCATCAAATTCCACTGCAGCTCCCACTCCTCCTGGGAGGCGGACTCCACCGAGCCTTGTCAGCTGCAGTACTATAAAATTGGCACTGTCTTGGAAATTCCTCTGGGAAGGGCTAGTTCTACCTAGTCTTATAATTATGAACATGCATTCCAACTATCAGGTGGTTACTTTACCAGGAGGATTATGAGGCTCCTGTCCACGAGCAGAAGTGCTGAACTGAGGGGTGTAGAGACAACAGAAAATTGAGCACAGGCAGCTTCAGCATAGTAAGGAAAGTAGAAGTCAGGGCCAGTGGGTACAAATTTGCATCCACCCATGACCCAATGCAAAAATGCTGGCAAGCTCTGCAGCCTCTTTCAGCCCCAGGGTCTTCCAGGCTCCCACAGCTTGTCCTTTTCACTGTCAGAATCCTTGACCTATTGTCTGTCTATTTAAGTTGAAATTTAAGGGTTTGGCTCAAGTTTATAGTAGAAGAGAATCTTGAAAAGTTACCGGTAACATGTAGTAGTATGTTACATGCCATGGATTCTGGGCTGGAGGAAGCTGGCAAAGTTGGGGGGGCTGTCTCTGTGTTCCACCCGCTGCTTTTCATTATCCCTGTTGATATGGAGCCCTTCCCTGCTGGAGATGCAAAACCGCTGTGCCCTTCATATAGCTTTCGTGTTTTGTGGGATAAAGAGTATGAGAATTACAAGTTTTGTTAAAATTTGTGGGGTTCTTATTGGAGACCATGCATTGTGTTAATTGCTATATATGGGACCCAGTTCGGTCTATATAAGAGCACTATAATGTTTATTATTTCTAGTTTTCATAAGAATAAATTGATGTTCTGAGCAATTGTGAAATCTGCTCAAGGTCACTTAAGTGGTAAATAGTAGAAGAAGGTCTTTAGTCCAGCTTGGTCTGACTCCACAGCCCTCCTCGGCTCACCACTCATGACAGACGCTGCTGGCGCCCCCCCCCCCAGCACCCGTTCCTCATTCTGGATGTAACCAAGCCACAATTTTGTTTAGTCTCTCACCCTCCAGGAAAAGGGTTTCTCCTTCACCTTTGGGAGCAAGTACTGATTAGTCTACTTACTACTAACTGGAATCAATTTTGCTTTTCAATGGATTGCTTCAGAGGTAGGCACTGGACTAAATTCTGGACGGAACGCTGTGAGAAAATATCCTGAGGGGCTTCTGCTTTTAAGAACAAGAATCCAAACGTTAAAACCCTAGCCTCTGGACCAGGTCATGCCGGTGACTATCACATTCACTTTAACCCAAAGGTCTCTGTGACCCCCATGTCTACGCCACTTGACTCAATTTCCTTACACTATGGGCTGCGGGCTTTATCAGAAATATTCAGGGTGTCTGTTAAAATGCACATCCATGAACCCCACTCTAGAATCTCTGTGTGTAAAACCTAGGGTGATTTTCTATGGCTATGAAAATTTAGGAATCATCTCACCCTGGGCTATTTGGCCTTTTAAAGAGTAATAGCAATTACCTTGTTCACATTTGGTACTCTCGAGAGTATTGTGAGGCCGCCATTGCCACCCCTTTCTTACCAGGGGCAACCATGGCTCGGGAGTTTCAGTGGTTTTTTTCCAACATCAAGCCCCACCAGTCTGTGGAGGCAGCAAGATTTGGAAACCAGGCACAGCCCACTCCAAGCCACTGCCTTTGCCATGCTAGTGCACTGCCTTTGAAAGAGGTTCCCCACGGTTACCTGATGTGGTCGTACCACAGAAAGGTGACTTTTCTCCGTTTTTCCTTTACTCACTCCCTCCTTCTCTTCCAGTTTTCACCAGTCACTTTCTCTGAGGGTTTCTCAACCTTGGCACTATTGACATTTGGGGCTTTGCCGTGTCCTTTGTCGCGAAGGCTGCCCTGCACGTTGTAGCATGATTAGCAGCACCCGTGGCCTCTGTGTACCAGGCGCCAGTGGTCACCCTGCCTCCAGGAGTGACGACCAAAAGAATCTACAGACATTGTCAGGTGTCCCCTGAGAGGCAAAATCACCCCCAGTTGTACGTCACTGTTATGGTGTACAGAGTTCTGGAGGGAGTCCTATTCTATTCTTATTTCTGACTCCTCCCCAATACGTTTTTGGTCAGTGACGTCTCTTTGAGCTTCAGTGTCCTCCTCTGCAGAACAAGGGTGACTTTATGGTTAAGTCCAACGTTCAGGTGAGGACTAAATGAGAGCAGACTGGAAGTCTGTCAGGCTAGAGCAAGTGAGTCTACACCCATAGGGACTCCTGGTCTTCACCAGGCTCTGGGCCGTGTTGTGGGGCTCGAACCTTACGCATTGTAGGGCTCAAGGTCAGGACAAGAACAATGCTCAAAATGAGAGTGGGCACATCTTGAACGTCATCCCCACACCAAGAGCTTCTCCTTTTACCCTCACGACAGCTCGCCTCGCAGGCTTTGCGGACAGCTTTGCTGGCAGCGCCGCGGGCTCGCTCGCCAACGCCGGGGAAACTGGCCAGCGTTCAGCGTTTGTGCGTGCGAACATTGCACAGACGGGTAAGTCAAGACTTAGATCGGTTACACTAACTGTATGAAGCCCCCAGTTAGAGGGAGGTAGAGCCGGAATCTGAGCTCAGCCGGGCTGATTTCAGCAGAACTGTTAACCCTCTTCCTGCCATGTTCCCTCAGCCAGACACAGGGCTTCGCTACCCACCCCTCAAGCACCCTGCACGGCCCTTAGAAGATACGATGTACTCAGTCATGTCCAAATCACCGGTTTTAATGTTGATACAACATTGGAAAGACGAGTATGCAGTGACAGGTGGGGATAGACCAACAAGGAGAAGTCGCAAAGTTACGAGTCCACACTAGTTTTAAGGGGTGGAAAGAACCTGTGAGCTACAGATGGCGCCTGTGCAGACAAGGAGGGCTGCTTCCCGGTGAGCCCCTAATATGTGCTCATCGCTGTACATTTTGTCATCTCCAATTACAACATCCTTCCTTTGGGACTAGTGCCATCACTATTGCAATACAGGAGGACACCACCCATTACATAAGGGAAGTGGCTTGCTCAGTGTCACAATTATTTAAAAAGGGATGCAGCTGAATTTATGACCACAAATGTCAAACTCAGCACTTCCTTGTCAGCTGACTCGATTTCTCCCACATATTTGCTTTAAAATAAATATTTTAGTGCTTCTGTTTTCTCCACAAGCTACGTAACTTCCTCGACTCATCCCACTTTCAGCCGATGTCCTGGACTGATATTTTACTGAGAAAATAGTAACAGTTAGATGAGAAGTTGTTGAGAAATTAGATGAGAATAGCCTGTCCCTCCCTAACCCTCGAATCCACCTGCTCCTGCCGCAGTGAACGAGGAGCTCTGCTCACCCCAGTGACCTCCCTCCCGCCTCGGCTCTCCCCCCCTCCCCCCCTCCCACAGCCCTGCCTCCTGCATTAGTCCTTTCTTTCCTGCCACAAAGGAAAAAACCTCAGGATGTTCTTTCCACAAGATCATTCTCACTATCATGTAAACATCATCATATTCCCTCCTTTAAATGTCCTCACCTCACTCTACCTCCCGAATCCACTCCGAGTTGACTTCAGTCCTCAGCCTCCCTGCCGCGCCCTCCTGACGCCCGTGGCCTGCCCGCCATGGGACCCGGTGGGCCCTTCTCAGTTCTCATTCTGATACCCAGTGCACGGGGCCCAGTGGATCTCCTTTTCATTCTTCTAACACGTTTCCTATGCCACGAGATGACAAAATGCACACACGATCCACCCTCGGTTGCCTTATAGCTCACTGGCCACCTCCTTCAGTCCATCTCACTGACATTTTGGCTCTGAATTCAGGGCTGCTCCACAGCTTGTGCTCGGCGTCGCCCCTTCCTCCCTCTCCAGCCTTCCCACAGGCAGCAGCGCAGCCTCCTGGCTGAGCGGCTCGCTGTGCTCCAGGGACGCCGGCAGCCTGGGCCTCTCCCAGAGCTTCGCCAGACACGACCGCGGCGTCTGGACGTCTCTCCCTGGGAAGCCGGCAGCACCCCACGCCTCACACCCCCAGCCAAACTGCCGACTGTCCCAAACTCCCCAACCTGCCACTCTCCCAATATTCTGTATCTATCTGAAGCTTAAACATCCCCCTGTCAAAGCTCCCAATCTAGAACTGATCTTCGATTTCCTTTTCTCTTCCCGGCCAATCCTGTCCAAGTCCTGTTGGTTGCATCCACGGGACACGCTGAGTCCACAGCCAGAATCACCTCCACTCCATTCCCTCCTCTGTGGCCCTTGTCAGGCCTGGACATTTGCACTGACCCTGCGAATAGCTTGTTCCTGGCCCTGCTGCCCCTCCTCTAATGTCCATTATCCAGACAGAGACACATGATTTATATATATGTATATATATTTGAGACAGAGTCTCACTCTGTTGCCCAGCCTAGAGTGCCGTGGTGTCAGCCTTGCTCACAGAAACCTCAAACTCCTTGGGCTGAAGCGATCCTCCTGCCTCAGCCTCCCGAGTAGCTGGGACTACAGGCATGTGCCACCATGCCCGGCTAATTTTTTCTATATATTTTTAGTTGGCCAATTAATTTCTTTCTATTTTTAGTAGAGATGGGGTCTCGCTCTTACTCAGGCTGGTTTTGAACTCCTGACCTTGAGCCATCCTCCCGCCTCGGCCTCCCAGGATGCTAGGGTTACAGTCGTGAGCCACTGCACCTGGCCGACAAATGATCTTTTAAAAGGAGAAATAAGATCATGACATTATTCTCCTCAACACCTGCCAATGGCCTCCAAACTTCTGACTCAAGCTCTCCACGCACCCTTGGGTCTGCCCGGCAGCCCTTGGCCTCACTGTGCCCTCTCATCCGACACGCGGCTCCATTCTCAGTGCATGCCTGATTCCTTGAGCGTGCCAGCCCATCGCCACCTCAGGGCTTTCGCTTTCTGTTTCTGCTGCCTACAGTGCTTTTCCTCTTGAGCTCCCCACACCAGGCTCATTCTAAATATTCGTATTTCAGCTGCAATATCATGTCCTCAGAGAGGTCCTGCCTGGCCCACTTGCAAAGCAGCTGCAGTGGCCCGGCCTGTCCCACCAGATACCTTTCTTGTTCGTTTGTTCATTCATTTTCCATCCCTAGTATGTAAGCTCTACAAGAACACCACGTTCTGTCAGTGCTGTACCTCCAGAGTAACACTGTCCGATAGTGACATAACGGGAGGCAGAAACTCGAGCCACATATGAGACTAACAACTTTTGAGTAGCCATGTTAAAAAATAAAGAGTAAAAACATTGGGGAAGATTAATTCTAATAACATATTTTATGTAATACTACATATCAAAAGGAATCTCATTGGAACATGTAACCAAAAGAAAAGTTATTAATGAGATAATTTAGCTTTTTTATTCATACTAAGTCTTAGAACATACCAAGTACACTTTACATTACAGCACATTTCTGATTAGACTAGAAATATAGCAAGAGCTCAAAAGCCATACATGACAAGTGGACCCCACACTGTGCAGCACTGCTTCTGAGTTTAGAAGGTGCCTGTCATCTAGTAGGCGCTCAAATAATAATTTTTAAATTGTCAGACCCCAACTTACCACTATATACGATCCTTTTCCTGTGACTGTTCTTGCCTCCTGTGCAGCAACAGAGGATAGAAGGGCTTTATCAGAGACTTGAGAAGGATGGGGAAGAGACAAGAAAACCAGAGCCAATCAGGTGACAGAAACTCTCACAGGAACTGTGAGCATGTTGTCAGCAGACTCTTCTTAGACACGTAAGTGACCAAATATTCCTTCACCTCTAACCTTCATGGGAAACAGTAATTCATCCCTCCAAAGATCAAGGGTTAAGGAATCTGGGAGTCCAGGCCTTTTGCTCTTCAGAGATTCAAGAAAATGAAAGAAACAATTACTGAGGTGAGAAAAATTAGAAGGAAGCAATAAAAAACAAAGATGATGGTTAAGCAAAGCTCCTTTCTCTACTTGCGCAATACTTCAGACACCAAACGTATGGGTTTTTCCACGCCAAGAAGTTCTACAGTTCTCTGGGGACACCGGCTGGGTGTCACACAACTCAGTTCTTTTGTGACGCTGTCTACCTGACTCAGTGTCAGATCCCACAGGTTAAAGGGCTCAGTCCGCAGACTGTCCTCACTGCAGACACCAGTCACAAGTCCCAGGTGACCACTCACACTTCTGACGGCCTATAAACCGAGTGTGCCCACGACTCCTTCCTCAGGCTGCTGCGTTGCTGGAATGGTGCGCAGAACTCAAGAAGACACTTCACTTACATTTCCCAGTTTATTATAAAGGACACAACTCGAAAGCAGCGAGGCGGAAGAGATGCCTGTGTGGGTATGTGGCAGGGGCCGGCCGGGGTGGTGCGTGCAGCCTTCACGCTTCTACCAGACACACACGCTCCCGGCGCCCCTACGTGCTCAGCAACATGGAAGTTCATCACGCCTTATTGTCCAAGAGTTTCTATAGAGCTCGGTCTCCAGTTCCCGTCTCCTCCTCCTGGGGGTCAGTCGGGGAGGCTGCTGAAAGTTGCAGCCTGTAACCCTTGGTCTTTCTGGTGACCAGCTCCATCCTAAGGCCACCTAGGGTCCCACCTTAAGTCATCTCATCAGCATAAACTCAGGTGTGATCCAAAGGGGCTCTTTATGAATAACAAGACATTTACAACACTCAGGAAATTCAGAGGGTTCTAGGAATTCTATAGAACCTTGAACAAAACCTAATATACTTCTTATTATACCTCAAAAGTGCTAAAACAAATAGTGACCAGCAACACAGAGAAAGGTAAGGAGGTGGATGGGAGAGGACATTTCATCCAACATTAGCACCGAGATTAGCCCCCTAGCTTTCTGGCCCTAGGAAGATAACTTGTGGGCCACTAATCTGAAGGGATGGGCTCTTTCTGAGGTTTAAAGCACCATCAGAATGTTCCAGAAAGTTGTTCAAATCCAAGACATATAATCATGAAGAAAGATGGAGAGCCAGAAAACAAGAGCCTAAAGGAAAGAGATGAAGACAACTATTTTCTCTTTTCTCCCTGAATTGCTATACCAATAGAATGTTTACGGTGACTTTAAACTATGGGTAAATTAATTATGAAAAAAAATTTGAAAGGAGGTGGATTTTGAGTTTGAACAAGAACGGAGTTTCATTTTATTCTTCTAGCCCACCATCCTATTGATTTTATTCCAGCAGCCTTTTGAACATGACCACAGGATAGCTGCCACTGTACCAGACATCACATCCAAATGCCCCTCCAAGCCAGAAGAATGGAGACAGGCAGATAAAGGGACTCTAATCACATGCCTCTCTTATTTTATAAGGGAGGGAGATCTTTTCTGGAGTCTTTGCAAGACCTTTCTTTACTTGTCATTGGCAAGATGGAGCAACATGCTGATCTCTACATGAATCCGTACCCCTCCCCCCAAAAAGAAAGAGGGAGTGGGAGAGATAAAGGGAGAGAGAGAGAAAGAGAAGAAAGAAAATTAAAAGCGAGGTTGCCCTGATTGGCTTAGGTCAATCATGATTAATTTTCTGAGATGGTGGCACGTTGCCACTTGAGTAAAATGGAGTTTACTTGTCAAGGAAGAAGGGGTTGTGGGTATTTTATAGGTACGGCCTCTGCAGAGGTGGCCCCCCGCTGCTCCAGCACACATAGAGCTCAATGAGTCATGGGCTGTGCCCTGGAAAAACTGACGACCTGGGTGGAGAGATGCGAGGGCACGGTGCTTAGTCACTGCAGCGAGGGGCACGCGTAGGGACAGAGAGATGCCTGGCTCATTGAGGGATCCCCAAAAGGAACAACTAACTCAGGCCAACAGGGCCAGGGGCACTTCCTGGAAGATGTAACATCTAGGCTGAGTCTTAAAGACTGGGTAAAGAAAGAAAAAAATCGCATTCTAAGCAGAATTGGGTGAAAGGACACAGGAAAGGGGCCGAGACGCATTGGAGCACAGATGGTGAGGCGGACAACCATAGTGACGAGCCCGTAGAGGGTGTCAGGCCATCTCATGGAGGGTCTTGGATGCTAAGATGAATTTGGAATTTCTCCTTAAGACCATGAAAAGACATTTAAGCGGGAGAGGGACTTGTCAGGTGTGTCCTTCAGAACAAAAGAATTGTTCTAGGGGACTCTAAACAGGATGGATTTGGGCATGTTCCCAACTGGAGGCAGAGATCTTAGAGCAGAGATTGTTGCAAGAGAGCAAAGTGAACCAGGGCATGGATAGTGTGATAGAAAGAAGGTGTGGTTTAGGGAGAGAGTGTCCAGGCTTGGTGCACAGGGCTTGGAGACGACATGGCTACGGGACAGAGGAAGAATGAAGGCTCTCTGTGCAACCCACGGCCCCAAACCACCGTTTAACCCTGCTCATGGGTTGTATGGGCTGGGAGTTGGGAGGAGGCACAGAGGAGCTACTTTCCTCTACCACCAAAGACTCAGCGGTTTGGGGATGACTAGAGGGCTGGGGACCGGAGTCACCTGGAACTCCTTCACTCACGCGTCCGACACCTGGGCTGGAATGACTCTAGTGCTTCACTAGGCTGGGACCGCAGACTGTGCCCACGCCCACGTGTGGCCTCTCCAGCTTGGCAGGCTCAAAGCCATCAGATTTCTGGCATGAGGGGTGCCGTCCTCTGGAGCAAGTGTCGCAAGAGAACCAGAAGCTTCGTGGACTTTTTGACCTAGCTTTGACAGTTACATGGCATCATTTATTTTTTACCACATTCCACCAGCCCCACCCTGACTCAAGCAGAGAAGGCATAGACCCTGCTTCTCGCTGGGAGAAATGTCAAACAATATCGTGGCCATTTTCTTTAAAACCACTGCACTGGGGTAATGGGCAGATTTGGGGGCCATCCTTGAGATGGGAACCCGTGAGGAGAAGCAGACTGTATTCGTTCACTAGGGCTGCCCTGGGTCTCTTGAGTAATAGATATTTATCTTGAATAATAGAAACTCATTTTCTTATGGTTCTAGAGGCTGGAAGTTCGAAATCAAGTTGTCGGTTTCTTTTGGGTTTTCTCCCTGTGTCTTCATGACGTCTTCCCTCTGCCTGTGTCTCTGTCCTAATCCCTTCCTGTGAGGACACCAGTCAGAACGGATTAGGGCCCACCCTAATGAACCCAGTTAAGTTAATTCCTTCTTTAAAGATCCTACCACCAAATACAGTCGCGTTCTAGGGTACTGGGGGCAGGGCTTTGACCGCAGAATTGAGGTGAGGGGCAACATTCAGTCAGTGACACAGAGTGATGGGGCAGGTGGTGAAAGCAAATGCTGGAGGTGACCCTGAGTGGACAATGAGCCCAAGATGATGCATGTGGGGTCAAGGGCGGGTCTGAGCTAGAGACAGCCAGGTGGGAATTGTTACGTGTGGTTGGAGCTTTCGGCATGGATAGATTCACCAGAGAGAATGTAAAACAGGAGAGAAAAAGAGTTTTTTTCTAATTACTAAGTTATAAATAATATTCATGACACTGGAATTTATGCTGAATGCTTTGTATCAGTTATCTGATTTGTTCTGCTCTAAAAGGCCCTCTGTAAATATTACTCTCGATTCATGGGGAAGTGACAGAAACTTGGTGCAGTTGAATCAGGGCTCAAATCCAGCCTACCACCTCTTTTTGTATGGCCTGAGAGCCAAGAACGGCTTCCACATTTACTACTGGCTGAAGAAAGATCAAATGAAGAGTATTTTGCAACACATAAAAATTACATAAGAATGGAAAAACAAGCACCACATATACTCACCAGCAAACTGGTATTAACTGAGTAGCACCTAAGTGGTCACATAGGTACTACAGGAATAGGGTATTGGGCAGGGGGGAGAGGAGAGGGGGGCGGGTATATACATACATAATGAGTGAGATGTGCACCATCTGGGGGATGGTCATGCTGGAGACTCAGACTTGTGGGGGGAGGGGGGGAAAGGGCATTCATTGAAACCTTAAAATCTGTACCCCCATAATATGCCGAAAAAAAAAAGTGAAAAAAAATTACCCACTCGTGCTGTTTTAAATAAAGTTTTATTGGCACACAGCCATGCGCATCATTTACATACTGCCGCGGCTGCGTTCATGCTATAACAGCAGGGCCCGGAGCTCTGATGGAGACACTGCGGCCTGCCAAACATAAAACATGAAAATGTTCGTGATCTGCGTTAAATGCCTTGTCCAGGCACAGAGCTAGAGCTGGGATTTCAGCCCGGCAACCTGGCTCCGCCGTCTCGGCGGGGTGATTTACTGAGAGGCTTTGCTGCTCACAGAGGCCGGTGCAGACATTCCCGCTGCCAGAAGGGTCAGGGTCTTGCAGCACAGGCAGGAATTCCCCCAACCCAGGACAACTCGAAGGGCCTTCCCCTTGGGCCTTACTCAGATGCGGCAGTGGAAGTCCATTTTGAGAATTTCCTTGTTTTCTTCACTGTGGTCACTTTGAGCCACACCCGTTTGCCTCTGTTCATCTTTGCAAATCGTGGTGTGTTAGTCATGGGCCATTTGGTAACCAGGAGCAGAGCCTCCTATGCTTTTTAAAGGGGTCTTACGGGAAACATACAAAGGCATCCCAGGAGCCTAGTTTCAGGAAGAATAGTCAGATTTCAGAAGTCTTCAAAATTTTCTGGCAATTACTGTCTGGGGTTCCTCATTTCTCGTTTTCTCCAGGGCCCTTCTCTATTGTCCATAATAGTGCTCTCTGCTATTCTCTTTATTTTAATTCTCCCACAAGATATTGTCTTTCTTGTCATTTTTCAATACATCCACACTTGTTATTCTTCCTCCCGTGAGAACCTTCTTAACTGTGTCTGTTAAGTACTACCCCAAAGAAACTTTTATAAAATACAAATTTGAGTATATCACAATTCTGATGAAAAACATCCAATGACTCTCCATGCAATGACTTTCTTCCCCATCTTTCTGGCTTGGGCTGCTGTAATGTAAAGTCAGGAGCAATGGCAGCTATCTTGGAGCCATGAGGTGGCAATCCCCAAGGAGAAAGCCACCATATTAGGGGTGACAAAAAGTGGAAGAATTAAAATAAACATGATTCTTTTTTTTTTCCTGAGACAGGGTTTCACTCTGTTGCCCAGCCTAGAGTGCCGTGGCATCACGATAGCTCATAGCAACCTCAAACTCCTGGGCTCAAGCAATCCTCCTGCCTCAGCCTCCTGAGTAGCTGGACTACAGGCACAGGCCACCATGCCTAGCTAATTTTTTTAATTTTTTGTAAAGACAGAGTCTCACTGTTGCTCAGGCTGGTCTCAAACTCCTGACCTCAGGTGATCCCCCTCCTCGTCCTCCCAGAGGTCTAGGACTATAGGCGTGAGCCATTACATTAGGCCTGAACATGGTTCCTCATGAAATTATTTAAATAGAACCTAACCTAGTTCTACCCACTTCCAAATTCATACAAAGTAAAGTATAAATATCATTTTTGGTTTAACACATTGACTGCCACACTAGAAAGAAATATTTTTACCTGGGGCCATGGAATTTTATTACAAAAATAGAAAAAAAAAACCTCCAAAAACAAAATGATCCTTTCTAATTTAATGAAAGATGTGTCATTTTTTAATTGTTTTCTGTGCATGAGTTATACACAAGTCACGTGGTGCTAGAATCAATTTTTACACAGCACACCAGTTGAGTTGCACGTGATTCATGACATACTTATTGAATTTATTTTGGAGAATTGAGTCTTCATATGCTTCACAAGGCTCTGGGCTCAAAATTAGCTTCCGGTAAATACAACTCACGTGGCAGTTAATGTGTTAAGCCATTGTTAGGTTTAATTGTAAATGGCTTAAAATTGAAAGCAGCCTTAATGAAACAAGACCTTGGGGATGCTGCTTTTAGGATACATCTGTGTCTGTATCCGCCTTCCCATGTCTCCAAATCACTCTGCTACTCTTGGATGATTTATGATACTTCAGAAAGAGCCTGCAAATGAGCTTCCACAGGCGTGGGGGGTCACAGGGGCAACCTGGACAGGGCGTGTGGGTGTGGAACGCTGTGTCTTGTCACCTCCCTCACCTGGTCTGCCCCCACCACCTCTCCTTGTGTCTTTCTAGTTTCTGTCTTTCTCATCTTCTTCTCTGCCTATTACTGCTCCCCTCGGGTTCTCCTCGCCCCAGTACCTGCTCCTCTCTCTACCTTGATGCCTGGAGAAAAAGTGGCCCTGGCCACCTGGATTCCTTGACCCTGGATGCTGAGAGGGTTGAACTCTGCATTCCACAGAGGACTGAGGATGAGGAAAACGGTCAGGTCCTGCAGTTCCTAGAAGGGCCCTGCTCTCTCCCCTAACGCCACTAAGACAGGTAGTTCACTGCCATACTTTTGGGGCCTTGGAGAATCACAAGGGGCTCTGGTTTTCTGTTTCCTGTTTCTAAACTGGCTTCAGTTCCGTTGCCCTTCCCCTGTCTCTTTTGGCGTCTTCTGTTGAGACAGTGAGAACTCGAGTCACTTTCCCCAGGAACCAGGACTCAGAGCTGCCCAGAGCGGAATCAGCTGGTGGAAGGTCCAGGTGAGAAGCATCCCTGGGGCTGGGGGACCGGACTCGGCCACGCTCGGCCGGCTGGAGGATACAGTCAGGACTTTGGAGTGGGTTGAAGAAGGACGTGGAGTTAAAGAATGATTTCTTTAAAAAAACATAAGGTTTTAGAGCATACTGGGGACTGATGGAAATGACAGAATATAAAAGGTTATATTAACGCTGCAGGAGAGAAGGGGTAAGTGAAGAAGAGAACTCCTTAAGTTGATGACGGAGTGAGTCTCGGAGGGCCAGCAGAGGGTAGGTCTTGGGCAGGACACTTGTTTTCTGGTCATTGATGTGAAAGCAGGGAACAGTCGTGCAGGAGCAGGCAGGGGGTGTGCGTGGTGGATTAGGAGGCAAGGGCATCAGCTCTGGGCACAGATGGGGCAGGAGGGGAGTGCGGAGCTTTTAGGAGAAAGCAGCAGGTCCTCGGCGAGTACTATGGGTCGTGGGGAGATGAATGTGACAGGTAGCAGTCGCCTTCCAGAGCAGTGGTGAGTGTGGACCTGAATGGTACGTGGGACCCATCAGCCAAATTCAGCTCTGTCCCTTCCCAAATTTGAAACATAGGCTGGTTTCAAAGGAGGGCTGGTCCCACCCAAGCTCTCGTTTCCTCTTCTGTCACAGAGAGATAGTGATTTTTAGTCCATGCTGAGGTTGCTGCAATCAGAGATAAGAAAGGTGAGGATGTGACACAGCGATTGCCATTTATAAGGAGCTCGGCCGACGCAGCCACTGCGGCTCGTGCCGTATTGCAAGTCACAGGGCTTCTGCTCGGAGCCACAGTGGGGACATAATTGCACAGCTTTGCCTCTCCGGCCCGTCCCATCCTGTCGTTGCAGAATCTTTCTCATTCGTTGCAACAACCTTTTCGAATGGTTGCCTTAGAGCTTCTTGGGACAAACAGTCCTCGGGGTGTCTCTGTGGTTGAGCGGGGGCGGGGGGCTGGGGAGCAGACATCGCCAAGTTGTTTCTGGGATTGTAGAGTATCGAGGTTCCATAGAAATGTAAGCCACCTATGTAATTTTAAATTGTCAATTAGGCAATTTAAAAAGATAAGAAGAAACAAGTGAAATTAATTTTAATAAAATATTTTACTTAACCTTACATAGCCAAATTGTCAGTTCGACATGTAGTCAACATAAAAATTATTCTTCTAATTGTGTAAATTTATGGGGTATAAGCGTGATTTTGTTACGTGGAGAGGTTGCATACTGGTGAGAGCTTTTAGGGTATCCATCACCTGAATAACATACATTGCACTCATTAAGAAATCTCTGTCATCATCTCTTACCTTCCTCCAAAATTTATTAATGAGATAGTTAGTTCACATTTTTTCATACTAAGTCTTTGAAGTCTGATGGATGTTTTACTGTTGCAGCCCATCTCAAATCGTGCTAGCCACATCTCAAGTGCTTGAAAGCTGCGAGTGGTGGGTGGTTACAGTATTAGACAACTCATCTACTGGTAGAGTAGCAGGGCAGTGGCAGAAAGAGACCCCTGCTGGAATAATATTTGACAGCCTGGGCTGGGTGACTTTAAGTAATTAACTTACACCCTCTAAGTCTCAGTTTCCTCATCTATAAAATGGGCCTATTATAGAAACCTACCATTAATCAGTACATACTATGCGTCAATCACTGGCTCATGCTTTATGGTATTAACCCATTGCATCCTTATAACAACCATTTGAGGAAGGCTGCTGCAAGCCTTAGGGGAAAAGAATAGCTCTTGGCGAGAGGCTGACATATACTTTACATACCTAAATCCAGTGAAATCTCATACCAAACACATTGTTTTGAAGACAGAGTCTCACTCTGTCATCCTGGCTAGAGTGTAGTGGCATCATCATAGCTCATCGCATTCTGAAACTCCTGGGCTCAAGCGAGCCTCCTGCCTCAGCCTCCCAAGTAGCTGGGACTACAGTTGTGCACCACAATGCCCGGCTAATTTTTCTGTTTTTTGTAGACAGGCTTGTCTCGAACTCTTGGCCTCAAGCATCCTCCCGCCTTGGCCTCCCAGAATGCTAGGATTACAGGCGTGAGCCACCGCGCCCGGCCTGCAGCACATATTTGGATTGCTATTAATATTTCTATCATGCTCTGCTTCATCCCCAATAGAACTGAGCCCGTCCAGTGACGGAGAAGAGCACCCATCTGTTTGGCCAAATAATCTCAGGGACTAGAGTAGAAACGGATCTCCTGTCTGACTTCCTCTGGCACAGAATCCACAAGATGTAAACAGGATTACACATCTTCCGTTGCCACTCACTGACCCATTTGCCCTATCTTGGAAAATGAGCCAAATACTATGCCTTGCCTTTCACAAGGGCAGAGGAAAGGAGAAGCTTTCCTGACCCCGAAGAGAGAGGGGGGCAGGGTGTGGAGTGGAGAAGTCGCACGGTCCTCGACTAAGAGTCACGGTGGGCGAAAGTCAGAGCCCACGTCTGTCTGACACTGGGTCACTGAAGCTGTCTCTCACCAGTTTTCCGATATCCACACATCATTATTTTTTCTTTTGTAAATTTGTGGTAAATACACATAACCAGAAATTTACTGTTTTAAATGTGCAATTCAGTGGCATTAAGCACATTTACAATCCTTTGCATCTGCAACCAATACCTAGTTCCAGAACGTTTTCATCACCTCAAACAGAAACTCCACACCCACCAAGCGATAATTGTCCATTCCCTACTTTTCCTAGCTCCCACAACCACTAATCTGCTTCCTATCTGTGTGGATTTGGTTGTTCTGGATATTTCATGTAAGTGGAATCATACAATATGTGGCTTTAGTGTCTCGCCCCTTTCGTGTAGCACGATGCTTTCAAGGTCTGTCCGTGTTGTAGCATGTATCAGTGCTTCATTCTTTTATGGCTGAATATTTATTATTCCATTGTATGCACGGACGCCACATTTTGTTTGTTTATTCACGGACATTTGTGTCGTTTCCACCTACGGACTAGTGTGAAGAGTGCCACTATGAACATTTTGTTTGGGTGCATGTTTTCTCTACACGCCTTTTGTCCAATACTTTCCTCTTGGAGGGCAAAGGCCCTATCGCCTTCAGCCAAGTGGCCTACCCGGTAGGTGGCTCGCACGCCAGCAACTGTGGGAACGTGTGGCCAGATGCCATCTTGCCGCGCTCACCACGCTTGCCAGTTTACAGATGGGGGAGGAACGCCGGACTGTGGTGAGGGTGTTCCGGCTGGACTGGAGGCTCAGGGGAAGATGGGGGAGCTAGGAGCGGGAAAACGGGCAGGTGCGGAAGTGAGGGCTTAGGGAAATGGCAGGAGGGTGTGTAACTCAGGAACGGCTGTTGTTAAACTATTTCAGGAGTGCACAGGATGGAGGTGAATTCTTCTCTCCCAGCGAATGTGTCTGGAGGGCCCCACGCTGTGCCTGCTGGCTACCTTGTCCTGGATATCTTCTCTTATTTGGTGTTAGCAGCCACCTTTGTCCTCGGCGTCCTGGGCAACGGGCTTGTGATCTGGGTGGCTGGATTCCGGATGACACGCACGGTCACCACCATCTCTTACCTGAATCTGGCCTTAGCCGACTTCTGTTTCACCTCCACTCTGCCCTTCATGGTGGTCTCAAAGGCCATGGGAGAACACTGGCCTTTCGGCTGGTTCCTGTGCAAGCTCATTAATACCATAGTGGACGTCAACCTGTTTGGCAGTGTCTTCCTGATCGCGCTCATCGCCCTGGACCGCTGCGTCTGCGTCCTGCATCCGGTCTGGGCCCAGAACCACCGCACCGTCGGGCTGGCCAAGAAGGTGATCCTCGGGCCCTGGACTCTCGCTCTGCTCCTCACCTTGCCAGTTATCATCCGCCTGACCACTGTGGCTGACAAAGCGACGGGGAAAGTAGTCTGCACTTTCAACTTCTCTCCTTGGACCAACGACCCTGCGGAGAAGCTGAAGGTGGCCGTCACCATGCTCACGCTGAGAGGGGTCATCCGCTTCCTCGTTGGCTTCACCATGCCCATGTCCATCATCACCGTCTGCTACGGGCTCATCGCTACCAGGATCCACAGACAAGGCCTGATGAGGTCCAGCCGCCCCTTGCGGGTCCTCTCCTTTGTCGTGGCCGCCTTCTTCCTCTGCTGGTTTCCCTACCAGCTGGTGGCCCTCATCCTCACGGCGCGGATCCGCCAGGCCCTGTCCGGCATCAGCGCGGGCTTTCAGAGAGCCGTGAAAGTGACGAGCTCCCTGGCCTTCTTCAACAGCTGCCTCAACCCGATGCTCTACGTCTTCGTGGGCCGGGACTTCCGGCAGAGGCTGGTCCACTCCCTGCCCGCCAGTCTGGAGAGGGCGTTCACCGAGGACTCGGCCCCGACCAGCAACACGGCCGCCAACTCTGCCCCCCCTCCTGCGGAGGCCCAGTCCCAGGCAGCCTGAGCTGAGTCGAGACGCTGAGCCCCCCTTTCCGGCCTCCGCCGCCCTCAGTTATACCAAGCCACAGGCATTCCTTGCTTATCTTCCGGTTGCCCAATTACAAACCAAAGAATCTTTGAGCCCACCCATAACCTGTTAAACCCCACTTCAAGATGTCTTGTCTTTCCAGGCCAAACCCATGTATGTCTTCCATGCATTGATTTATTTCTCACCTGTAATTCCTGGCTCCCTAAAACCAAACTGTGACCCAGCTGTCTCTGGCACATTTTCTCAGGACCTCTTGAGAGCATGTTACCTGGGCTGCAGTCACACACACTGGCTCAGAATAAACCTCTTTAGATTATTTTACAGTTTGGAGCTTTTTCCGCATTAACAAATAAATATGTTCATGTCCTTCTATTTCTTTGTATTCCCCGTTTTCTTTATGCCTTTGGCAAACATGTTCCTGAGACAGCCACTGGCATTATCTGATAATCTTTAAAAATCTCAAAACATCCTGTGTGTCCTGTCACATGATAAGAAATATGTATTTGGTCTCCACCCTGGGTCCCTGACACAGAACTCCTAAAACATTCATGATTTCCTGAGTGGTAGGTGCACCTTTGATTATAATATTTGTTCTTAGTTTCAGTTCCTGACACAAGAGCTTCTAGGACCCTTGGAATCTCTGGATGATGAGTCTTTCGTATGCTAGCGAGATGACTGGTGGCCAGGGGCCCCTAGATAGCTTCAGATGGGGGCTGGTCCCCAGAAGGAGCTGGACCCCAGAAAGGTCCCCTCGAGCTCCACCCGCTGAGCTCCGGGAAGGGTAGAGGTGCTGGAGACTGGCTCCATCACTCACAGCCAGTGGTTTGATCTCCCACGCCTGAGCAATGGAGCCTCCCTAAAAGTCCCAAATAACAGGGTTTGGAGACACTCGGGGTTGGTGAACACGGCCACATGCCTGGAGGTATTGGGCCCCAACTCCTGCAGTTACAACAGAACCCTCCTGACCCTCTTGACTGTTCATTTATATCTTTCATAATATCCTTTATAATAAACTGGGAATAGTAAGCAAAGTGCTTCCATGAATTCCGTGGGCCATAATAACAAATTATTGAACCGAGGAGGGGTGGGGGGCCCTGATTTGTAGCCAAGTCAGACAGAAGTGTGGGTACCCTGGGGACCCACTATTTATGATTGGCATGTGAAGTGTGGGACAGTCTCGTGGGACTGAGCCCTTACCCTTCGGGGCCGGCTGATTCTGCAGCAAGGTCAAGTTCGTGCCACCCGCCTCAGGGATCCCTCCCCACGCGCAGAGGGCGGTGGGTCGCAGGAGCCTGGACAGGAGTGGAGTGTCCACATCTGGACTTCCAGGAGGCTCCCGCTCACCCCGGTGGTGCTGACACTGTGACCCCCATCCTTAGCTGTTTGGAAATCGGGAGAGACCCTAGTTCCTGTTACTCAAGCAGCCCCCGCCTATTTCCTCTCCTTGTTCCTCAATTCTGTTCCTTCGGAAGTTCCCGGAGCTCGAGACAGTCTTCATACATGACCGCAGTCACTCTGGGAAACGCCACGGCAGAACTGCATTAGGAAGTGCACCTGGGTCAGAAATAAGTCCACGAGGGGGAGGGAAGTGGGGCCCAGCTCAGGGGTTCCTCGGGGGGAGCGCTGGGACCCGGATTCCTGGGACTGAGGGCTTCATCTCTTGGAGCCTCTGTCTTCTCATTTGTAAAATGGGCATATGAGCAACCCCTCCCACGCAGGACTGTCTGCACAATGAAAAGAGACAGAGTTTATTTCTCCACAGGAACGCGATGAGCAAGTCACAGGCACGCGCGGCGTGGACGGCCTTGCCAACACGACACTGGGTGAGAGAAACGGGGCGGGAGGAGAACGCCCCGCATGATTCCATCCCTGTGAGCTTTAGGAAGGGGACCACCCATGCGCACTAGAGTCGGGACATGCTTAGCCTCGCCGTGGGGCAGGTGACCGAGAGGGTTCGTGGGGGTGTCCCGCGCCTTGATCCTGGCGCTGGTTCACTCACTGGGCGGTGTTTATGGCATGCGCAACGCTCTGCACGCGGCACCCCAGCGAGGTGTGTACTGAGGGAGAGAGAAGGGAGGGAGAGAGGGAGAGGGGCTGGAGGGAGTGAAAAAGGAAGATAGAATGGAGAGAGGGAAAGATGGAGGGAGAGCAAAGGGAGAAAGGAGAGAGGGAGGGACAGAGAGAAGGAAGTGGGAGAGGCAGAGGGAGGGAGGGAGAGCGGGAGGGAGGGCTTTCTCGGCACAGAGGAGCGGAGGGTGAGTTTTAGACTCTGGTACAGCTGAACAGATGGGGAGGGCACGTTGGCACAGGGCTCGGTAGAGACAGTGCACGTCATTTGTCATTTCTGACCCTTCCCCACCTGGCCGCCTCGTTCACACACCTGGGGCGCAGAGAGGAGGCTGGGGGACACACCAGCGCCAAGGCGGGAACAGCTGGGCTCCAAGCATCTGGGCATCTGGGCGGTGCCTGCGGCAGAGACAGCACCATGCATAAATTCCTGCTGCTGCCAATGGCATTGCCGTGGGCGGGTGATGGCCTCGGTCTCCCAAGCCTTGGCATCAGCCAGAGCCCTTGATTTCTGGGACTCTGACAAGAGACAGACCCCACATCTCTCTCCCCTACACACGTGCGGGCAGCCCCAGAGGTGTGCTGAGAAGCCTCCTATCAGCCCACAGAGAGACAATTATTAAAATTTCAGGAATTTATGTGAGCCATTGTTAAAAATTAAACCATACAAGCAAGCCTACAATGAAATAAGCAATATTAAAAACAAAGGTAGGGCTGGGCGCGCCGGCTCAGGCCTGTAATCCTAGCACTCTGGGAGGCCGAGGCAGGCGGATTGCTCTAGGTCAAGAGTTTGAAACCAGCCTGAGCAAGAGCGAGACCCCGTCTCTACTATAAATAGAAAGAAATTAATTGGCCAACTAATATATATAGAGAAAAAATTAGCCGGGCATGGTGGTGCATGCCTGTAGTCCCAGCTACTCAGGAGGCTGAGGCAGGAGGATCACTTGAGCCCAGGAGTTGGAGGTTGCTGTGAGCAAGGCTGACGCCACGGCACTCACTCTAGCCTGGGCAACAAGGTGAGACTCTGTCTCAAAAAAAAAAAAAAACAAAAAAACAAAGGTAATAGGGTCTTTAAAAATTCATCACTTCCCAATTATTTTGCTACACTTTGAGGAACAAATTTAGTTCTAACATATATCCTGGTTGTTTTACTTTTGTCTTACTCACTAACATAAACAAAATACCAACCGCATTCACGGCAGAACTACACTCATTCATCAGCAACGCGAGCAACTGCTTGGCTGAATTCAAGAGTAAGCAAGCATTTATTTGTAATCTAATGTCATGACAGTATTGTTCATGATAGAATTATAAAATAAGGGCTGGGCACGGTGGTTCACACCTATAATCCTAGCACTCTGGGAGGCCAAGGCAGGAGGATTGTTTGAGCATAGCAGTTCGAGACCAGCCTAAGCAAGAGCAAGACCTCATCTCTACTAAAAATAGAAAAATTAGCCAGGTGTCATGGAGTGCACCTGTAGTTCCAGCTAATTTGGGAGGCTGAAGCAGGAGGATTGCTTGGAGTTCAAGAGTTTAAGGTTACTATGAGCTATCATGATGCCACTGCATTCTAGCCTGGGCAACAGAATGAGACTCTGTCTCCAAAAAATATATATATATATAAAACATTATTTTATATATGTATATATAATGGTACTGGATTTTATAAGAAATTGCAAGTGCCCTGAAGTTATAATTGTATGGCATTTACAATAAAGACAATTGTATATTATATTATTATTTGTAAACAGTGTGCTACATATCATGTATAATCAATAGAAATTACTGTAAACTGACGTGTTTGTATACAGACATACATTTTGTTTTCCTGGTGAGCCAGTTGTTAAACATTTACCAGCACACCGCAGTGCAGAAAGCACATGTGTTTTGGATTCTGCAAGGGCTGTGTTCAGATCCCAGCAGTTACTACTTACATGTGATCTCAGACAAGTCACTTCCCTCTTTGAACCTCAATTTTCTCTTCTTTAACATGGGAGTTGTACCAAGTACCTGAGGGGTATCGTTTGCTCATGAATACGAAGTGGGCATATCTATCAAGGCCGCCATCAACACCATGGCTATCTGAGCCTGCTGGAGACCGGCCTACTTTCTCTGTCCTGGGAGACCCAGACCACTGTGACGTGGCATTTCTGGTCCACCCTGTCCTCTCCTGTCCTCAGAGTCTTCCTTCCTCCTTGCAATCTCTTTGGCAATCAAGAGATTGGGGGATGATTCGGCTGCACGCTCTACTCTGAAGTCCTTGGACCTGGGGTGGGAGAGGGGAAACACCCTCCTAGTGGCCCATTCTGGGCCCAGGCCCCTTAGCAGAGGCCTCAGCCACAGGCCTTAGAAGAGGACCGACCTCATGAGCTTCTCCAGGGCAAAGGCCAAGGCTGGTTTAACACACACTCTCTCGTGCTCTGTGCTGACCGCGGTAATTTCCTAGGGCTGCTCTAACTCATCACCACAAACTGGGTAGCTTAAAACCACAGAAATGAGGCCGGGCGCTGTGGCTCACGCCTGTAATCCTAGCTCTTGGGAGGCCGAGGCGGGCGGATTGCTCAAGGTCAGGAGTTCAAAACCAGCCTGAGCAAGAGCGAGACCCCGTCTCTACTATAAATAGAAAGAAATTAATTGGCCAACTGATATATATACATAAAAAAATTAGCCGGGCATGGTGGCGCATGCCTGTAGTCCCAGCTACTCGGGAGGCTGAGGCAGGAGGATCACTTGAGCCCAGGAGTTTGAGGTTGCTGTGAGCTAGGCTGACGCCACGGCACTCACTCTAGCCTGGACAACAAAGCGAGACTCTGTCTCAAAAAAAAAAAAAAAAAAACCACAGAAATGTATTCGCTTACAGTTCTGGAGACCAGAAGTCTGAAATCAAAGTGTCAGTAGGGCTGTTTCTTCCTGGAGGCTCTGCGGGGGAGTCCCTTCCCTGTCTCTCTCAGCTCCCCTCTCGGCTGCTGGGACCCCTGGCGTGCCTTGGTGCTACGCGCTGAGCTCTGTGCCCCTCCCAACTGCCCGCTCCGATGTTGAAGTCCTAACCCCTAGTACCTCAGAATGTGTCCTTATCTGGATATTGAATCGTTGCAAATATATATATTTTTTGAGACAATGTCTCACTCTGTCACCCAGGCTAGAGTGCAGTGGCATCATCACAGCTCACAGCAACCTCAAATCCTGGGCTCAAGTGATCCTCCTGCCTCAGCCTCCGAGTAGCTGGGACTACAGGTGTGTGCCACCATACGCCTGTACTTTCACCTATTATGTGGGACTATACATTTTTCCATTTTTGTAGAGATGGGGTCTCACTATGTTGCCCAGGCTGGTCTCGAACTCCTGGCCTCAAGCGATCCTCTCTCCTCAGCTTCCCTAACTGCTAGGAATGCAGATGTGAGCCACCACACCTGGCTGCAGACATGATTATTTAAGTTAAGATGAGGTCATACTGGAGTAGGGTGGACGATAATCCAACATGACTAATGTCCTCACGAAAAGGGGAAGTTTGGAACAGACACGCACGCAGGAAGAGCATTATATGATTGATGCAGAGAGGGCGGTGACGCTCCTACAAGCCAGGGCGCAGGAGGGCTGTCAGCAAACCACCGTGAGCCAGGCGAGGGCAGGGACTGGACTCTCCCTCACAGCCCTCAAAGGAACCAATCCCGCTGAAACACCTTGATCTTGGACTTCCAGGCTCCCAAACTGTGAGACGATAGATTTCTGTTGTTCAAGCCACCTGGTCCGTGGCAGTCGGCCCTCTGTGCTGGCAGGACTCAACCCATCACAGACAGAAAAGATTTGGAATAAAACATCAATGAAACTTAACACAATTTTAAAAACACAGTATAACAACTACTTACACAGCATTTATGTTGTCCTGGGTGTTATAAGTGACCTAGACATGCTTTAAAGTATACAGGAGGGCCGGGCGCGGTGGCTCACGCCTGCAATCCTAGCACTCTGGGAGGCCCAGGCAGGCGGATTGCTCTAGGTCAGGAGTTCAAAACCAGCCTGAGCAAGAGCGAGACCCCCATCTCTACTAAAAATACAAAGAAATTAATTGGCCAACTAAAATATATATAGAAAAAATTAGCCAGGCCTGGTGGCTCATGCCTGTAGTCCCAGCTACTCGGGAGGCCGAGGCAGGAGGATTGCTTGAGCCCAGGAGATTGAGGTTGCTGTGAGCTAGGCTGACGCCACGGCACTCACTCTAGCCTGGGCAACAGAGTGAGACTCTGTCTCAAAAAAAACAAAAAGAATAAATAAATAAATAAAGCATACAGGAGGGTGTGCACAGGTCATATGTAAACACCATGGCATTGCATATAAGTGTCCTGAGCATCTGTGGTTTTCGGTGGCCACAGAGGTCCTGGAACCCCCCCCCCCGGGGATCCCCCACAGACACCGAGGGGCGACTGTACTTGGTCACTGCTCTAGAAAACGAACCCCCTTGGCTTGTCCATGCACCCCTCCAGTCTCTACCTCCATCTTCACGTCCTTTCTTCTCTGTGTTTGGTGTGTAATCTCCCTCTAGGCTCCACTCTTATAAGGACACCTGGGATGGGATTTACGGCCCACCTTAAACCCAGGATCAGCTCAAGTTGAAATTCTTTATGGCATTTGCAAAAACACTTTTTCCAAATAAGGTCCCATTTACAGGTCCTGGGGATTGGGACTATCTTTCGGAGGGGGGGGCGCCTGTCCACCCACCCCGGGTGGGGACTCACACACATCCTCCTTCACTCCAGTACGGTGACAGAGGAGGGAAAGTGGAGCTCTGAGGGAACAAACCACTTCCCCAAACTCACAGGTGCTGGATTCCTGGTCTTTCTGACTTCCTGCTGTGTCATGCTCTGTCCCAGAGGAGGCCTCAGTAACGATGACTGACGAATGAGTGAATGAATGAGTGAATAAATGAGTCAAGCAACTCAGTAGCAGGCAAGCAAGCTACCCTGCACAGATGTTTTCTAGAAATAGCAAATTATGAACTAAATATTAATAGTCTGGGAGCCCATTTAAACATGGGTTCCATCCCTTGTGCTGTCATGCAGCTCTCTGCATGACATTGAGTATCTCAGGGCCTTGGTTTTTCTATCTGTAAAATGGGGATTATAATACTTTCCTCAAATATTTTTCGAGGATCTTAAGTGAGAGAAAGCACATGGGTCAATGCTAGGCACATTAGTAACATATTATTTCACTTTGGGGTGCATCTTTTCCTAGTGAGATGGTTCCCAAATTTTACAGCGGGTAACAATTACCTGGGGCATTTGCTTAAGTCACTTCCACAGATCTGAGCTCGCAAAATCAGAACACATGGGAGTGGGGCCCAGTGAGTTGCGTGTTTAGCAAATGCACACGGATGATTTAGGTGCTTTAGGGTCCACAGACCAGTTTGCAGAGCACTTAGTGTACAGTCACAGGAGCACGCGGCGGAGCCAGCTTCTTGTCTGTGCTCTCGGGCAGATTTCCTCATCTCTGTCATCTCCCAACATTTGAAGACTGGAAATCAAATCATCACAAGGACCAGAAGAAGATTGGCCAGGATGGTGTCGAGGTTGAAAAGTCGGATCTCATCTCAAGCTCCTTAACTTCACTACACCTGCAAAACCCCTGAAAACCCTTTTTCCCAAATAAGGTCACGTTTAGAAGTAGGATTAGGACTCAGACATAACTTTTGGGGCCACCAGTCAATCCCGACGTGCAAGGACTCTCATCAGCCTCTAGTGGGTCCTCTTGTGTAATATACGGCCAGAAAACCACAGCCACATTGTGTCCTCTTCCCTATCCGACGGCATCCACTGGGACGACAGCACTGTGGCTGGAGCTGCCGGCCTGGGAGTACCTGCAGCAGGAAGGGGCCCAGACTTCCAGGCTCTGACTGCACCGTCCCTGGCCACGGCCACGCCCCTTTGATGACGCGCCACCCGTGCCGCGCCCTCTCTGGCTGCCCACCAGACTTCTCTGAGCTTCTTGCTATGCCGAACTCCTCCCAACAGCCCCTGGTGCGAGGGTCCCCTCGCCCCACTCTGGAGAGATGAAAAGGCTGGGCCCAGCAGAGTTCCACCCACCCACATCCACATAGAGATGGGCTCTCATGTCTGCAGGTGGCTAAGGGGGGAAAGAGGCTCAGGCCCGGGAGGTGGCTTGTCCAAGGCCACCAGCCTGGGAACCCAGGAGTGTCTGACTCCTCGGGTGGGAGCTGGAGTATCCAGGGATGGTAAAAGCCCCCCCCCCCCGTTGCCACCTGAGTGAGCCATGGAGACCTTCAGCTACTGATTCAGAAATGGCTAAACTCACCTCACATGCCACGTGCCAGGCAGACTCTCTTAACCTAAGGACTACCCTATGAAGGGCAACTTGAGATATCCCATTTTGCAGATGAGGACAGAAAAGCTCAGGGGGAATGAAACGGCTCCTTGCCAAGAACATGCAAGTAACTGTGACATAATAAGGGTCTGTGTCCCCCTAAAATTCATTGTTGAAATCTTAACCCCCAAGGTGATGGTGTTAGGAGGTGGGGATTTGGGGGTGACTAGGTCATGAGATTAGTGCCCTTGTAAAAGAGGCCTGAGGGAGCCCCCTTGCCTCTGCCACCATGTGAGGGCACAGTGGGAAGGTCTCATCAACCAGGAAACGGCTCCTCACCAGACACCAACTCCGCCAGCACCTTGATCTTAGACTTTTAGCCTCCAGAGCTGTCAGAAATAAGTTTCTGCTGTTTATAAGCGCCCCAGTGTATGGTATTTCATTAGAGCTGCAGAATGGACTAAGACAACAAGAAATATATATTTGGTCTCAGGTCCTGGTTTCTGGCACAGAGTTCCTAAAACTCGGGGAATTTCCTGAGTGACAGGGGTGAGACTGTCTTTTGTTATTCATAATAAGCCCCTTTCAACCTTACCTGAGTTGATGCTAATGAGGTGAGTCTAGCAGGGTGGGGGCTGGCTGCCAGAGGAATCAACCTTGTGATCAGAGGGTTGGAACTTTCAGCCTCATCCCCAACCTTCAGGAAGCTTAGAGGGGCTGCAAACGGACTAATAATCGTCAACAGCCAATGATTCAATCAATTGCGCCTAGGTAAAGGCGCTTTCATTAAAAACCCTAACTAACGGGGTTCAGAGACCTTCCGGGCTGGTGAATGCATCCACGTGGCGCCAGCCCCACAGCGACAGACGCTCCCACACTTGGGACCCTTCTGGACCTGCCCCCGTGTACTTCGTCACCTGTCATCTGTGTCCTCTGTAATATTCTTTGTAACACGCGGCCAATGTAAGTAAAGTGTCCCCCTGAGTTCTGTGAGCTGTTATAGCAACTTATTGAACGTGAAGAGGGGGTCGTGGGAGGCCCTGGTGAGTAGCCAAGTCAGACAGAATGTGGGGACCCTGTCCCACTCCTCGAGACTGACATCCCAAGTGGGGGGACCGTCTCATGGGATTGAGCCTCCACCTGGGGTCTGCACTGACTCCCAGTAGTTAGTGCCAGAAATTACATGAATCCTTAGACATTCAGTTGTCTGACGATCGAGTTGGCAGAGCGATTGTTAGTGGGAATAAAACCCCACATGTCAGAGTATTATGAGCAGAGAAACAGGATTTTCTTTGAAAACCACTCTTCCCCGGTGGCCCCAGCAGTGCAGGCAGCCAGCCCTGCCCGGCTCTCCGTGCTCGGATTTATCTTCTGAATCGCACTGCTGTGCCTCCCCTGCGGGCTCTGCGCCCTGGCTGTGCAGAGGTGGCCCGGGGCTCACGGTGGGCAACAGGAACCTCAGGAGGGTCAGGGGAAGGCACGGAGCTAAGGCCACAGCTGAAGGGTAACCCGGGCTGGGAACATTGTCTGTCGGAGGTTAGAAGAAGGTGAACCCCAGAATTCGGGAGCCCAGGCCTCCTCTTGCGCCCACAGGAGTCAGGCCCTCCACGCCCTCGTGCCCCAGACCCAGGGGTCTGGACCCCAGCCTCCCCCTCCCCAGCCCCTCTTCTCACAGCGACCTGCTCAGCAGATAGAGTGACTTAGCTCCTGACACCTGGTTTCTATCACCTGGCTCTGCTGCCCCATGCCACTGCATCGCTGGGGCCAGGAAACCACTCTGCTCAGGCCTCACGCATTTTCCTGTCTGGAGGACGAGACTCCTCCTCTCTCGCCTCCCTGGGATAGACAGCTGCTGAGAAAGGAAGTCCCGCCTTCTTCTTCCCACTCCCTGGCACTGGTTCCCTCCAGGGAACGGGGCTAGAGAGAGAGTGGAGGCCTAGGTGGCCGGCGTCTGCAGCTGGACACGCGGCCCTCCCCCTCCAGCCTTCCCTTCCCGCTCCCGGCTCCAGCTCCGGCAGAGGTGCCAGCTGGAAGCAGAGGCTGGACGGACAATCATCATCGCTGGCCAGCCTCCCTCCCTCCCCCGGTTTCAGCAGAATCCTGGAGGCCTAGGTGTTTCCCAGAACACGCGTGTGTGGGGGGATGGCCCAGTCTAACTGCAAGTCCACTAGGGCTCCGCTGGGAGCATGGCCGCCAAGCTTCAGAATTCCTGGAAGTCCCAAGGCAGTCTGATCCAGATTTGGGATCTTTGCTGACCCTGAAGTCTTTCTGTCTAAGGTCCTACCTCCCTGGGAGCTTCTCACCCACCCTTCCCAGGACTGGCCACTCTGAGTGGCATGTGCAGAGCTGTTGGGGAGGGCTGGGGCGGGGGCTCCCAGCTGCTGGGCTCGCTGTCTCCCACATCTCCCCTTCCTTTCTCTCTTCTTACTCCATTCTCCTCCTCTGACCTTCCTCCTTCTCCCCCTTCCTCCCTGTCTATCCCCCGCGTCTTCCTCCTCTCCTCTCCTTTCTCTTCTCTTTCTCTTTCCTCTCCATCCACATTCTGAGCCTCTGTCCCAATCTCGCTCATTCATTCGACACGTATTTGCTGAGCACCTACCAGGAACCAGGCCCTGGGCTTGGATCCAAGGAAACAGTCATGAACAAAAGAGGTGACGCCACTGCCTCTCACCAGGGAGACACATTGCACAGAAAACGATGCTAAATGAGCAAGTTGTACATTATGTAGGAAGGAGATCAATGCTTGGAGAAAACAAAAAAGCAGAGGTGGGTAAAGGGGCCCAGGAAGCCAGGGTGGGGCAGGTTTCTCTGTGGACAGGGTGGTCGTGTAAGCCAGCTCCCCAGCCAGCCCCTCTCCTCTGTCTCTCCGTGTCTGGATTCTCCCAAAGCGCTTCCCTTCCGACCCAGCACACCCAGCAAAGAAACCATCCGCCTGGACGCAGGCATTTAACAAAACACGGACTTCTTCAAGGTACCTCCCAGGTCCCCTCACCTCCCTGTTCCCCAGGAGGAAGTCATCTTTGAGACCAGCACCTGCCCAAGATGGGGCAAAAGGAGGAGCAAATCGCCCCGTGTTCTAGCTCCTTGGGGCTTTCTCTGCTCCTCTGCCCATCCTCACTCACACTTCCCCAGGGGTGGCAGCAGTCCCATGGCGTCACCTCCATCCAAGCTCAGACTCGGAGCTCTCTCTAGCCTGGAGAAGACCTTGGGACCTCTGATTCTCTGATATGACCCCACCATCCACTGAGTCGCCCTGGTCAAGAGCACCCCCCAACTCCCATCTCTCTGTCCAGTTTGTCCCTGTCCAGTTTGTCTTGGACCCAGAGCTGATCCTGCCCCTCCCCTGCTCACAGCCCTCCCATGGCTCCCCAGTAGCCCCGGACAAAGTCCTAGCCTTTGATTCCGGCATTCAAAATCCTACTTGTTACACATATTAAATAGCTTGATTTAGCCATTCCACAACATACACAGCTAGCAAAACATCATGTTGCACATCCTAAATATATATACTGCTTACTCCTCAATTAAAAATTAAATTTTAAAAATCCCCACATGGGTGCGCCCCCTTAGGGACCCACCTCCACTCTCTGGCTTCACCTTTTTGTTTCCACAGCATCAATCGCCCATACTTTCCTGACTGGCCGTGCCATTTCTTGCCTTGGCTGCTCCTTTCCACCTCCTCATTAGCCAGGATCACTTCCTCCAGGAAGCCCTCCCTGACTCTCCAGCTGGGTTGGTGCAACCTGGAACGGGTTTGTGGTCCTCTGTTTACACAGCCGTCTCCTCCATGGGATTGGCATCTCCTCCAGGGCAGGGCCCAAGGCTGAGTCATCTCTGTGCCCAACACAGCCCAGCCCAGAGGCCCGCTCACCAGGGGTCAGGAGATGTCCCTAAGATGAATAAATGTTCTTTCCTCGGCCTTTTCTCAAGTTTTGCTTTATCTCCACCACCTTTCCCTCCTCTCTGTCCTGGTGTTCTGCAAGCCATGCCCTGAGGTTTACTGACGATGATCAAAATCTTGGGAGGCCATGTGAACCCAGGGCAGGGGCTGGAGATCAGCTGCCATTGAGCGGAGGGGTCTGGGAGAGGGGCTGCTGGGGGGTGCTGGAGGCTCTGCGCGCCCCCCTTGCCAGTCCCTGCCTCCTGCGGAGGGCCCAGCTCCCT